GGTTAAAGCCTGACCATGAGATTTACCAACCCACATGCACACCCGAAACTGAATGAAATGGAATAATAGCGTTGTCTTGAATTAATAGGGAAATCTTTTGCGAGAGAATAACATAAGGCTTCCGTACTGGTGTTTCCAAGTGAAATAAACGGTTTGACTAGGTAACAATATAGATACGAAGAGTAATTGGGTTTCGAATGATCTCATAAGCTTAAATTGTTGGGGATACTTTCATTTCGCATAGAAGTGCATGATTACAAGATTTAAGGGTCGATCTCACCAGAAGACGATGGCTGATTCACGTTGTATTGCAGCCTTTAATGAAAGATCCAACTGATTGGCCTAAGACTAGACTGAAAGATGCCCTTAACTTATGCAGAAGCAAGGATGAAATGGAGAAGTGGAAAATGAATTCTTTACTCAAGAGAGATGCAATGCCCCCTCAGCTTACGGTCTTCCTAAGGTTGACAAAGAGGATTTATCTCCGATTAATTATAAATATTTAAAGGTGTGATCGACAAAATCTCACGCCTCTTATGCATAGAATTCAGGAAAGCTGCTGACATTGGGCCATATTCAATTAGAGTCGTATGAGTCTTTAAAATTGGCTGGTCAGAAGATAACTTCAGAGGAAGATAGGCTAGTAACTTTTGATCTTGTGTCTAGGTACCCAAATATTCCCGTTTAATGAGCCATCCAGTCTATAGTAAAAACTCTGGTGGGGCATCCAGAGACTGTACAAGTAATATGATTGAGTATAGCTTCCATTCTTAGACTTCTTAACCTATCCATGAGTAGCATCTATTTTACCCTTAATGATAAGTTTTATGAGCAGACACATGGAGTTGCGGCAGGATCTTGCTTAGCTCCTATCTTGGCGGACAACTATATGAACAAAAGTGAGGAGCACTTTTTGTAAGAGGCAATACTAAACCCTGAATTGTTGGTTAGATACATGAATAGCTAGTTTGCCATCTGGCCTTTTGGCAAGAAAAGCCTAGATAGTTTCCTGTCTTCATTTAAATAACGGGAAAGGAACACTAGATTAACAATGGTAATAGAAGAGAATAGGTTGTTGCCCACCTTAAAAGCTATAATCATTAGAAAAGCGGGTAAGTTAGTAAGAGGAGTCTGTAGGAAGCTTACATAAGTTGGTTCTTGTCTGAATTTTTTTCCACCCATAGCTACAAAACTACGGTTGTAATATTGAACTCAATGACTTTATTGAATATCAGACTATTGGATAGCAACCATTTGACTAAAGAGTTGGAATGGCTGAAATTTTTATTCCTGAAAAATTATCATCCTTTGTACCTGATTGATAATAAAACTTCTTTACTGAGGCATACATTTTCAGACGGAGACTATTTATTCAAAGATAGACAAGCTGAGACCTTTTCTCATGTCCTAATTTTGCCATCATGCCTTCGTTCTATGAAGATAGGCGAATTACTGAGAAAGGGGGGGATAAAAATAGCATTAGAAGAAGTCCTTAAACTTATTTTCGGTTACGCCATCCTTTAGATAAATATGACCCATTATCGAGATCCGACTGCTACAAGATTTTGTGCTACTGTGGTCAACCTATTTTCTGAAGATTATGAGAACGCAAACATGCTTGTAAAGGGCGCAGGGTCTAATGGTCAGAAGTGGCCGAATACATGGCAGAGACTGTGCATGAGTTAGAATGGTCTTAAACCAATAGGTTTTCTGATTATGCTACGTATGTTGTTAAAATAAAGATAAAAGCTTATATTTAAATTGGATTAATAAATACGTGGAATGTGAGGGACGGTGGTAGGAAATTGAATATTAACTACTTATGCTTGATCGATTGATTTAAGGAAAGAGAGGGTGTTGAGCTGCCATCTAAGAGGAAACGACTCAATTTGTCTGCTCAGTGATAATACTAACTTCGCGCACACTCGTCCAACATGTTAGATTAAGCTCACTAGCTATTAGTATATATGAAGTAAGATAGAGCCAGACAGTCTTCTTTATCCTGTGTTAACTCGAGACCTATACAACAATGAACTCCAACTGATGATATCCGTCATATGATGGACGAAAGCTCAGTCCGTTTTCGCCCGAAACGAGGAAGGGTGTTTCGTTGACTGCGTCAACCTGAACGTCGAATTAAATCAAACGACCGCAGTTCAGTGCTAATCAGCTGTCGTCTTCTGGTGATATAGACTTTCCAACCTCTTTTTCATTTATTTGCATACAAAATGAAAGTCTCCCAAATAATAGGGAACAATAGATGAGCTAGGAGACCATGGAATGGAATGGATAATGGGGCAAGGGGATGGCTGTAAACTCTTGGCTCTGATATATGTTGGTATTTCGGAAAAAAATTTTCAACAACATTTAATTTTTGGTAATATTTTAAGCCTTGAAACAACCATTAACTAATGTGTTCAAGACGATATTCTCTGCTTCTATCGTTGGTATTTAGTTCAATCTATTACAGGTAGTTTTATGTCTTACGAATAGAAGTAAACAAACTCATGTCTTTCAAAGTTTTTGTTTACGAACTATGGTTCTACTCTTCTAAATATTTATTTGCTCTTTCATCTTATTGTCAGAAAAGAGCAAAGTCCATTCTGCTCTTGTTAGTGCTGGAAAAGATTCTGCTACTTCACGAATTTCCCAGTCAAATGTAGTTTCGACTTCTGCAGTAACTACTAGCGCCGCATCGCAGTCTTACACGGCCCTCCAAACGCCAGTATATTCTAACGATCTCGGAGTAAGTTGAATCACTTTATTCTTAGGCCTACTCTTGGTTTTTAACGTGACATTTTTCTCATTAGTTATGCCGCCACCAAGATATTTATTTTTTGGTTTATTTCAATGCTTTCCATTTATACCTTTACTTAATTAATATTGGCCTTTGTCATGTTTTACTACTTTTTTCATAAATTTTTTAACATATTTAATATGAACCTTTTAAGATAAGCATGTACACGAGTAAGTAATAATCGGCGGTTTTATCTATGAATTTTTGTATTTCGGTAAAAAAAGTTTAGCTTTCATGTATATATATGCATGGATGTATATATATGTTATCATTTTATCAATCATAATTGAGTAGTATATAGATCACGATTGTCAAAATTTTTCGTTTATTTTTTATATTCTTTATTCTATTCTTTGATAGTAATGACATTAACTCCACTGTTTAAAAGTTACTATAAGCCATAACATTCAGTGGGGTTCATTAATTCTTACTTATATATGTCGCCTATCTGCTGGTTTATTTCCATTTCTTTTTCGGCTAGCACTCAAATTAACAGGACTTTTTCTTGTTTTCCTTATTTTATTATTGAATTCCTTCTGTAAAGACCACTTTTTATAGGGTCATATATTAATGCATATTAATTTATTATTGTCTGATTTAATGCATTTTTATAAATATATTTTTGAGACTACCAGTAAATATATAGTAGCTATATTAACTATCTTTTGTTTAAGATGATGAGACTGGTAGAACTTACACAACCGGGAACTAGGTAATGCTGCCGATTGTAATAGCATTCTAGTCAATTCCCACTTCGTCATCAATTTCAGTCGCTTTTTTATTATTTTTTTCAATTTGTTTTTCGTCGAAAACTTCTGATGACCTGCTTCCCACTGTCCTCAAGCCCAGACTTTCTTCAAATTTACTTCTGTCCTGTGATTCAAGGGCACACGTAGCATTGTAGTGTAGTGTTTAACGTTTTGGGATTATATGCTGCACTATCAGGGTTTTAATACTGTTAGGGGTGCTGTTGAGACCTAGACATGTACGAAGTTGCAGTTTATCTTGGATGATAATCATTTTTGGGATGCTGGGTAATGGGACATTTATAAAAACATTAGGCCTACCCCTATCGTTGTAGGAAAATTATCTCGTTTGTTGACACATCATTTTGTTCCTCTACTTTTTCTACCCCTACGTCTCAGCTTGATTCTGGATCCAGAGTTGGTAGTTCAAATATTGTCAGCCCCTTAGCCCCCAGTGTGCCACCACGCATAGGCGTCGGAGCTCCTTCATCTCCACAAGGTGCTACATCGGCCCAATCTACTGTCCTGACAACTCAATCGCTTCTTGCTAATTCGGGTGGAATTGCCGGTGGAGGATCTGCCTCTGCCGTCACAATTACAACAGGCCGTGCTTCAATGGGCATGGGGCCTCCGATTTCAGGAATAGGTGTTAACACTGCATCTTCTTATAACAACAGCACAACGACTATTTCAGCTTCGTTATGCAGCACCCCAGGAATTGTTTATTCTACGGCCGGTAGCGGCACTATCTGGCCACCTGGAGTAAGTATTTCGGTGCCGGCTCCAGTGGCGCGAGCGGACCAGCTGGCTGCAGCCTGGATCTGCCCTGACGCTTTGATTACCGTAAGCCCTAACAGACCTGAAGTGAACTCACTCATTCAGCTGCTTGGAGCTTGGCTATTTGAGGCAGCAATGGCAGGCGTAAATCAGGAAGTGGACAGTAAGTCCTTCAACTCTTCGTCATCCACTGTCACCATTTCTCTATATTTATTTATCTTTTGCTGAGCCAACTTCCATTTTAAGTGAAAGTGTTTAGTGAAAAAATTCGAAAGTCGATCCCACCAAAAAATGATGGTGGATTCCTGTTGCCCATCTGTCCATTGGTTTTAGGGGAATATTCTTATTGACAATATTTCCGAGGCAATCTCCTTTAATTACGGTGGAAATGTGCTAAGCTTTTTTCCGTCTTATAACGAATATCACCCGAGCAGGTTATCCTCTTCACAAGCATATTTAAGCTGAGTCAAGAAAACTCATCTCTAAATGCTTTAAACATATTATATATCTAAGAGCTTTGATGAGATATAAAGTGATTTGGTTAATTAAAGTCATTTGTCAACCCCAAAGCATGCATATGGGTGTGTGTGTGTGCATGCGTTCGAAACTAGTAGTGATGGCTCAAAGTAATTTTAAAAAAAGTACGTCTGTTCTCAGCTATCAATGCTTAATTACTATCATCACCTTCATATACTATCATTCCGATTGCGCAGTATCGGACAGTCGGCTAGTTATTTTCATGAGTTTTTTTTCTTTATGTGAGATAGGAAGAGTGGGCTAGAAAGTACGGAGAAGTGATCGTGATAAGATCCAAGACAAGAAAAGATTAGTTGAGTCGCCTCCTTTCAAGCAGCTTAACACCCTTTCTATTATTCAGTTTATTATTATTATTAAGCACAAGTAGGTTTTACCTAACTTGCCTGTATAACATACGTTTAATGTATTCCCCATTCGGTGTATTTTGATTACCAGAGGAATACCATAATCGGGAATATATGAAGACCAAGATGTTGTGGCCTCTGGTGTGGTCGCAGTCTTCTTTCGATTGATAGAAGTGGGTTGACCTCGTTGTCTGAGAATGTATCAAGTCCACGGTCAGATGCTGGGAATCATGACAACTACTATGACAGACGACTTCGG